CCTTTTTATTACCATTGAGTATTTTACTCAACAATCTTTAATTTTTGTTAAATTAACAAAAGGTATATCACAGCCACCTATATTTTTTCAAATAATAAAGATCTACTGACACAAAATCATAAAAATTAAAATATCTAGGAAAATCTTCTGAGGGGTAGGCAACCTTAATCATATTTTGAAGATACATAAATTCCACATTGAACACCAGAAAAATATACTGGGTGTTCCAATTAAAATAAAGGAGTAACTTGCTTTTAAAATTGACTATTATTCCATATTAATGTTATCTCACCCTGTATAACTTTTCGAGTCAAATTTCAATTTGGTTTAACATACAATGCTCACTGTAATTAAATTTCAGGCTATACAACGTCAATTAAAATTTAGGTAGCTGTTTTGTACCGAAATTTGAAATTTACTCTTCATTTTCACAAAATGTGATATATGTCAAAATCCTTAGATTTTAGGTATAAGATTCTTTAATAAAACTCACCGTTATTTTTTTCCTACAAACCGAAAATCAATTAATATATAGGGTGTTCCATTAGAAAAAACACAACTTTGATGTGTAACTTTTTTGGGGACACCCTGTATAATTCTATATATTTTTAGAAAATGCTTCCAATTAACCTACATATGCTGCCAAAATTTAATTTCGATATAAACTACCGTTCTCCTTGGAGTTTCCGCGGCGTATGAGAGGCGCCACCCTGTATATTATAGTCACTTCTAGCGAAAAGTTATTCCATTATTTCGCTCGATTTTTGACCGAGATCTACCGCGCGCTACACAGCCGACTATTTTACAGTCTTTTTCGATAAATCGCAATAGTGTCACCGTTTAATTTAAGTTCCGCCACAAAAAAACAATCCTTCTAGATTTACTACCTTTAAACAACTATCAGTAGTAGAATAAATAATAAATAACATAAAATAAGCTCATAAAGACTGACAAATCCAAAAAATTTCATCTTGTGTCATTCTATCAAATTCAAATGTGTCAAATGAATCGTCGAACAGAACTGTCAAGGATCCCCACCCTAGAGTCCTCTTTCCGTCGACCATGCATGAATACATGGATAGCATTATACTTCTTTCTTAATATTTTTATTCAAAGGTCAGAACGGAGGGACTCAAAACAGTAATGATTTGGCCTGTCGTTGTACCGGGTGGCCAACCAAGAATGGACGCCGGCTGTATCTCAGAAACTACTTATCATATAACTTTGGGAAAACAATTCTAATAAGTAAATAGACCAAGAGAAACCGCTGGAAATTATTTCCAAGTTCGAGAAATGCCCGCTAGGGGGCGTTTCTCTAATAGCCAATCAGAAAACAGGGTTTTTCTCAAAAATATGCAGGTGAACAGGTATTTTAAATATTACTATTGTAATCATCGAGAAATTTGCAAAAAGATTTTTTTTTGATATAAAGCATTTTGCTGTATCTCATAAAATAAAGTGGTGGGAGAAGGTTAACCTTGCTTTTATTAAAATAAAGATAACTCTTTAGGTTACGCGATTTAAACAAATTAGGGCTCGTTTGAAAGATCTTTTCTTCCTTAATGATCTCCAGTATAAATTTTGTTTCCACAATTTTTTTCGTGGTAGCTAGAGGGCGCTGTTTGACATCATAACAGATATTGCGCTTTTGCGTAAAAAAATTAAATAGGAAGCTATATTTCTCTTTACACAGTTAAATACACCACAAAATTTCCAAAATATCAGCGCAAACCGCAACTTTCTATCTTCTCTCTAACCGGAGATATTAAGAGAATAAATCATGTTAGGCTGCCGCTTAGGATTATATAGTTTAAAAATTATAGTAGTAGGCTAGGAAACAAAAAGAGGTAAATTGGTTACGTCAAATTATCAAAACATATATTTTAATTTCATTTTAATACCGTGTAATTATTATGTATCCATGTTTCGTTCTTGATTCGACCCCATAAATTAAAACCCAGGCATATTGTATCCGATGACCGAACTGGCCATGGAATAATGCCGCTCCAGCGTCTCTATCTACTAAAGTAAGTGGTATCCAAGAAGCCCCACACATTCATAGCAAAATAAGCGGTACCACTGCCTCAACTACACCGATGGCATTCATGCTGATGAAATTGCAACAAATGCAATTTCATCATGACGGATCCCCTAACAAAATTGGCAAATCATTTCTTAGAAATTAGTTCATTTCATTCGGATAATTAAAAAAGTCCAATCATTCGCCATCCTAGAATTCCTGCGTAAACATTTACCGACCAATGGTCTTGGTGCTAAACTACTTGCATCAAGGGTAGAATTGGAGCAGTAGTGCATATTGTTAAGATTCGCACCTTCGATCGGTGCTATATGAAAAGTGACCCAAACGACATAAACTTTATAATATAATAATAAATAACACAAACAAGAGGTAAAACACGTAAACAAGTGAAATAAAGAACGAACTTGGATTAATAACTAAATGACGTTATATGAATAAACCCCTAGTTTTCGATCATACGAAATTCGGCGGCTTTTTCTGTTAAAAACAATATGGCGGCACAAAATTCCTAGAAATTTTAATAAAATTATTGATTCTCCGACTTTCGGACATTTTAATCTGAATCTACCTACGTATAATTAACCAAGAAATTTGTAAAAATTATATAATAATAATAATAATAATAATAAACACATTTATTATCCCAAAATGTTAATTACAATACAATATTTACAAAGTTCTAATAATTATCGGAATAAAAGGCCACTTATGCAGCTTCCTCCATAATGGAGGGTGCTGTTGAAACCCGTTCAAAGTACAAAAAACATAACTTATTGGCTAATTGTGTTAGTAAAGTATTTACATTATAATTATTCATATATATATATATATATATAATATATATATTATCCAATTTTAAGAGAAACGCGAATAAGAAAGTAGAGAAGAGAAAAAAAAAGAAGAAATAGAGGGGGGAAGGATAGGGAAGGAAAGGGACTGTTGTGCTATATTATGCTTGTTTAAATTTGCTTTTTTATCATAATATTATGCTTGCAGGAGTTTGTTTTTAATTTGTTTTTTAAAGGATGCTACTGAATTGGTAAAATCAGTTATTTTATATTTATTGATTAATGATGCAATTTGATATGTAAAGCTATTTTTAAAATATTCTTTTTTGTGTCTGGGTATGGTTAATAGGTATTGTCGGTATGGATGGATGATAATGTTACGTAAACACGTTTAAATAATTATGACGTCATTTTTTTTAAGAAAGCGCCCGAAATTCGGATGCATGAAAATTGAACTTAAACGTTTTGATATTTTGACGTAACCAATTTACCTCTTTTTGTTTCCTAGCCTACTACTATAATTTTTAGACCATATAATCCTAAGCGGCGCGGCAGCCTAACATGATTTGTTCTCTTAATATCTCCGGTTAGAGAGCAGATAGAAAGTTGCGGTTTGCGCTGATATTTTCGAAATGTTGTGCTCTATTTAACTGTGTAAAGAGAAATATAGCCTCCTATTTAATTTTTTTACGCAAAAGCGCAATATCTGTTATGATAATAATAATAATAATAAATACGATTACGCGTATTAGATGGTCAAAAGAATTGAATTGTGACGTTATGCGTACCTTCTATTACATAAATCAGTGCAGAGACGACGCGCTCCCAGGCTGGAGATATAAACTCCACAAAGAATTTCAGAAACTACATCCAGAAATGAATCTATCGGAGCAAAATATTGTAGACAGGAAAAATGTTAATGTTAAAAAAGGATATCTGAATGACAGTGAACTAGCAAACCTCCGCCGTGAAGCTGGAAACCTTCTTACAGAACAAGATGTCAGCATCGAGATAATTGGTCAAGAAGTACACCAGGAAGTCAACGAGCGAAGTCAAGACACCAGAAAGTCAACGAGCGCAGTCAATGACGGAAGTCAAGACACTACAAATGAAGAGCAGAACATTATAGGGAATGAAGAAGCGTATAACAATTTGATTAGCTTTCTCAGATTATACGAAAATTTAGGTATATCGGAGCGTCCAAGACTCTCGCGAATCTCCAATAAGTTTAAAGCAGAAGTTATCATTAACAAAATAAACCCAGTATTGAAAAAACATCTTGAAGCCGTTGAGAATATCGAGGAAATACAAGACGCAATTTATGCTGCAGCAATAACTGTTTTGGATTTTAATGGACAAAAGGTAATTTCTCCTGAAGCTTCCCAGACGAAACACTCTCCTCCTGGGAAGCCATCTTGGGCAATACGCCTACAACAACAGATAGACAATTTCCGCGCAGAAGCAGATATCATAGCAGAATATCTCAATAACAACATCTCCCCGAAAGTTAATGCCAAAATTGAGAAGATTAGACACCACCTCAAAACTAGTCGCAACTCCCAAAGTATGCGTAGAAAATTAACGGAACACAGGGATACATTGAGACAAAAAAACCAAAGCTAAAGGAGCACGTCTGCGCCGGTATCACGAGACAACTAAAAGAAAACAACAGAACCAAATGTTTATAAAAAATGAAAAGAAATTCTACAAAACGTTAACTTCAACCAACTCCCCTGAACAACTGAATTCTGTGCAGAATAATACCTCGGACACCCATTTTCAAGAGTACTGGGAATCCATATGGGCTAGTAATGAAGATGCTGATTTAACTGCACCGTGGCTGACAAATGTTGAAAGAGCAACGCAAAACTTAACAGATATGCCACAAACAACTTTTACTGATATGGATGTTAGTCAGGCTCTAAAGAAAGCAAAAAATTGGAAGGCCCCTGGATACGATCAAATCCATAACTTCTGGCTCAAGAAATTCACAGCTTCTCATGAATCCACTTACACGTTGCTTTACAAAAGCGCTTAATGATCCCACTACGCTACCAAGACACATTTCTGAGGGTATTACCTACCTTATACATAAAAAAGGAGATCAGAATAATCCACATAACTATAGACCCATTACATGCCTCTCGGTCTTCTACAAGCTACTAACAGCTATGGTAAATGATAAAATATACCAGCATTGTGAAAGCAACAACATTTTCGCCTTCGAACAGAAAGGGTGTATAAGAAAAGCAATGGGGTGCAAAGAACAACTGTTGATCGATTCTGTAATTATGAAAAAAGCGCAGGCTCAAAAGCGTAATCTACATACTTGCTACATTGACTACTCCAAAACCTTTGACTCCATACCACATAACTGGCTCCTCAAAATACTTGACATCTACAAAATTTCCGACAATGTAAAAGCAATGCTTACATATATAATGAAATTATGGAGAATCACGCTCAAACTTAATAACAAAAACATTAGGAAAGGTGACATCAGGTGTGGAATATATCAAGGAGATTCGCTCAGTCCTATGTGGTTTTGTCTGGCATTGAACCCTCTGTCCCAACTACTTAACAACACTAATGCTTGTTTCAGGATAAAGATGAGAGACCGAACTGGATATAGTCACTTGCCCTACGTGGATGACCTTAAACTATACGCCGAGTCTAAACAACAGCTTGAGTCTCTACTAACAGTGACACAACAATTTAGTGACGATATAAAGATGAATTTTGGTCTAGATAAATGTGCTACAATAGAAATAAAGAAAGGACACGTGGTGAAGACCGAGGAAAATTTTATGAATATACCTTGTCTCGAACCTGACGATACCTACAAATACCTTGGCATACAACAAAATCTTGGAATCCCCCATACAAATCTTAAGAAAGAGGCCATGGAAAAGTATAAAAGCCGTCCCACTAAATTGCTAAACACAAAATTAAACTCCAAGAACCTGACAAGGGCCATTAATTGCTGGGCAATTCCAACACTCTCATACTCCTTCGGAATTCTAAAATGGTCTGACACCGATCTAGACGAACTAGATAAAACAACACGAAGAACGCTTACAAAATTCCGCTGCTTACATCCCAATTCATCCATCCAACGACTGTACATACCACGCAGCGAGGGTGGACGTGGACTGCTCAACATTAAATCTCTTTGCAAATCACAAGAACGTAAAATGAGAGAATACTTTTTACAACACACTCACCCAAATATCCAAACAGTAGTCGAACATGACCAAGCATATACACCTCTCAATCTAGCTTCCCCACAACTTGAGTTTCAAATAGAATCACATTCAAGTCGAATAAATAATTGGGAAGAGAAGATATTACATGGAAAATATCCTTTACAACTAGCTGCTGCTCACATTGATAAGACAACATCAATCTCTTTCTTAAAGTATGGTAATCTACACCCTGAGACAGAAGGTTTCATGCTGGCAATCCAAGACAGGATCATGAGAACTAGAAATTATGAAAAGCACATCCTGAAGACGGACACCATTGATGTATGTCGAAAATGTGCTAAACCGGGTGAAACCATCGAACATATTACTGGTGCGTGCTCCGCCCTTGCAGACACCGATTACCTCTGTCGACATAACCAAGTGGCTAAGATTATACATTCGCACTTAGCATTAAGGTGCAAACTAATAAAATCGTCGCTGCCATATTATAAATATACACCTGATGCAGTTTTGGAATCCGACCAACATCTATTATACTGGGACCGACCAATCATAACTGATAAAACTGTGGATTACAACCGTCCGGACATCTTGCTTATCAATAAATCTGAAAAAGTAGCATGGATTATTGACATCGGAATTCCACTCACGCACAATATATTCAAAACAGAACAAGAGAAATGTAGAAAGTATATTAACTTAGCTATAGAGGTAAAACGCATTTGGAACCTAAAGAAAGTCAGTATTGTGCCCGTCATAATCTCCACCGAAGGAGTTTGTACCACCAATCTTTCACCTAACTTGGCTAAATTGGAACTACAAAAAGGCCTACGTTATCCCATGCAAAAGGCCGTAATTTTACAAACCTGCCATCTAGTTCGTAAGTTCCTATCAATATAGACAGGATGAAGTGAATTCTTCCTCTGCTTATATATCGCCCGACATGAAATGTTGAGATTAAAAAGAAAAGAAAAGATAATAATAATATGTTTATTTGCAGTACCAATTACATTTACATAAGTTTTTACAAATAAATATTTATTCTACTGATACGCAAAAAGGAACTGAAAAACAATTATAAAAAGATTTAGTTCAGTTCCCGCTTTTTTTAATAATATATAAAGTAATGTGTATACTGAGTATGTGTTTACGGTTTCTCTCTTAATCTATTAATACTTGCTATTCATCAGCTGACTGTTAAACTGATGTCAAACAGCGCCCTCTAGCTACCACGAAAAAAATTGTGGAAACAAAATTTATACTGGAGATCATTAAGGAAGAAAAGCTCTTTTAAACGATAGTTTGTTTAAATCGCGCAACCTAAACCAGAGTTATCCTTATTTCAATAAAAGCAAGTTTAACCTTTCCCCACCACTTTATTTTATGAGATAGAGCAAAATACTCTATATCAAAAAAAATACAAATTTATCGATGATTACAATAGTAATATTTAAAATATTAGTTCACCTGCATATTTTTGAGAAAAACCCTGTTTTCTGATTGGCTATTAGAGAAACGCCCCCTAGCGAGCATTTTTCGAACTTGAAAGTAATTTCCAGCGATTTCTCTTGGTCTACGATAAGTAGTTTCTGAGATACAGCCGGCGTCCATTCTTAGTTGGCCACCCGGTACCTAGTAACTGAAGTCTAGTTACAGCTCTAGCCTCTAGCAATAGTTTTCAGTCTTTTTTTTTGTTTTTCTCTGTTTGATTATAAAATTGAATGTTATAGAATTTTTTAGAATTTTCAAATATCAACGACAGCTCAATTTACGTAAAAAAATAAAGTTGAAAGATATTATATGTTAGCATTTCGGCGGTATTTGGTGTGTAAAATACAGTATGCCGCCCGCAACGACAAATTAATTCAATGTTCCACCGGTATTTATAGATATAGAAATACCATGCCGCCGGATGGCGGTATTTTTTATACATTAACAATACCGCCAGCGTCGGTGGTTCTTTAACCACTGCTAAAAATATAGTGCAAAAACGTTTCAAACCATCTTCAAACGAATTTCATATTTTTATTGCATTACAGACTATTCTACTGGGCGACAGTGGCGTAGGAAAAACATCTTTACTGGTCAAGTTTGACACTGGGAGATTTGAATCTGGAAAATTTTCTGCAACAGTGGGGATCGGTTTTACGGTGAGTTTAAGTTATTCAATAGATCCATTTTAGAATAATGCAGTATATTATTTACTTATTTTAGAATATTATTGTGTAATACTGTTTCATAAATTACCTACATAGTATACATTTACTTTTTCTACCACTTTAAAACAACATAACTTATTAATAAAAAAATGACACATTAGAAAATATGCCACTAATCAAGATGATAAATTGACACAAAAATGCTGAAAATAATAATAATAATAAATATACGTTCTAAAATTTAATTATTTTGAATTTATGAAACTGCTCAGAGTAGTAGAGTAATAACACAGATTATACAGATTATAAACTTTGTTTTTTCTTTATTGTTTTTCGTGGTTCCAATTTTCGGAATCGGTTAGGTTACTAGTTTGCGCACATAGCACTCCCACTTATGGCCTCTAAAATTGTGCACAGCGCTTGACCGGCACAGTTATTAGAGAGATATCGGAAAACCGAATAGCGTCTTGCAGTAGTATTTACGCGTACACGCGTACCTTATCATTGCTTATCATGGTTACGACAAAGAGTTACGATATGCGCGAGTCAATTTTTAACATAACATCCGCTAATAACGTTACCACCTGACATAATTTGCGGATCAATTACACCAAGCGCTATTTCTAAATAACGTTTAAAAATTGCTTAAATGAGCATGTGCGGGTATTTGACAACCGGGGCCGGCCGGCGAGATCGTTTATTTTAGGTTATGTTTGAATTGTTTTGAATTATTACTTTAATTTTATTAGGTAATTTGATATTTAAGTAGCTGGGATTAGTTTTAATTAAATAAATATGGCCGAAAATATGGATTCCACCTCTTCCAATATTAAAGAACCTATAAAGAGGCTTAGGTTTACAGCAGATGACGACTTAGCCCTTCTAAGAGAATTTGTTGCTTGTTACCCTAAACCCACAGGCAGACGTTAAACAACAAAGCACTGGAAATAAGCACTTTAGCCCTTTAGTTTTAAAATACCTAGTAAACAAAACAATTTCAAAGTTTTAAATTCAAAGTTAGGTTAAATAGCGGACGCGACGCGAACAGAAAATTCTTTCCGATCCGATAACTATAAATGAAGACATAACTTGTCATACCTAAAGAAAATAACACCTGGCCTTATTAACGTCCATGCACGCTATTCGGTTTAGCGATATCTCTCTATTACGCTGTTTATTATTATTTTACGCGAGTTTATTTTTGCGCACAGGAAATTTTACTCGTTTGCACATCGTCATAAAAAACAATTTTCGTACCACGAATTAGGGACAAGATTTTTATCTGTATACTTATAGGATACCTAATCTGTGGTAATAATTTCTTTTCATTACGGAGCGACATGAAATGAACTAAAATTTAATTCTAATAATAAAATTATATAAAACTCATTTTACCTTATACCACATATTTAATTAAAACAAAATAAATACAATAGCATAATTATATTTTACCTATATTTTAATTTGGTATCTTTGCTGATGAAAAAATGTAGATGCATTCTCTTAGCCTCCGCAAAGTACCACCAACTTTATAGATTCATTTTGCACAATTTCCATGCATTGTCAATATATAGTTTAGACAAAATAGGAATAAAGTGCTGAGTTTGCATTAATTTCCAAGAAGTCATTGTCATTCTGTTCCCCAATAAGTAACCGTCCAGTTAACAATATGTATATGTATTCTTCCTGAAGAAAAAGTAATAAATATTCAAATGCCACAGCCAAGATGAAACTGTCAGATTTTGTGGAATATACATTTTTGACATCCCTCCAGAATGCCAAGCTATGGTTGTTGCAGTAAAACTAGTTATAAATGGAAGAAAGAATATCAAATCTGAAAATCAGCTAGTTTTATTCGCAGATTTCACAGACAACTTTGAAAGTTTAGCAACTTTAAAGTTAGACAAGAAAATGGATATTAGCCTAGACAGCTTGCATGAGCTAAGCGGACAAATTAAAGCAAATCAACCCCATTTAATATCAGAAGACATAAATAGATATCCTAATTACTGGACAATAGCCATTTATGTCCTAATTATATCAGCTTTAATTTATTTTGCCTACAAGCCAACCAACTAACTTGTTTCTGACCATCGCCTATGTAAGAAGAAAAATAAACGCCACCCAGAGACACCTATTCAACTACCCCGTCAGTCAGTATAGTTGATGCTACCGAGGGAGGAGTTATACAACGGAAAACTTTTGTAGTGCCGGTGCCGGATAGTGCTTAGTGTGCATATGTTGCGAGTTGCGAATCTTCTTGTTCTCTAACAGTCAGTTTTATATTCAGACAGATATTTGATTTGTATTTGTATTTTATTTTTTATAAGTAACTTTAATGTAAAAGTAAAATAAAGTTTTTAAAAAGAAGATTGTGTCGTCTCGCATTATAAGTCGCGCATTGGTTTGTTTCCCTACAAAGCGTTACATTACATTTCATTGATATACCTACAGATTTAGCCACGTATGTTCAAAAAAAGAACCAGTAACCAGTGTCCGGCGAGACGCGGGCGCTAGACGTCGCTAAGAAATCGCACCTTAACATGGTTAGCGAAACACGTGTCCAGTGCAAAAGCAGGGCCGGCGGAAGGCAAATATTGAAACCGGGCGAGGGCCCTATCTGGCGCCCCCCCCCCCCTTAGTTATTATAATTCTCTTTTTCTTTCAGTACTATCCTTTAACTACAACTAAGCATATTTATGCTACTTGACTTTTTTTTACAATAAATTTTCACTTAAAGATACTTCAAAATTATTCTTCTCTTCTTTCAATCTTAGTCTGCGGTTGTTGTTTTTTGTATACCGGGTGCGTCTCGAAATTGACTGAATTTTATTTTTTACATAAAAACCGAGATTTGGTATGTTACTATATGACATAAATTTGGACTGATTCAATTACGACTATTCAATTCTTTTTGGCCACTTCCTGTTTCACCGGAAATGACTAAAACTTTTGATTTTTAAATGGCACCTCGATATATTTCTACTTTATTCGATAGAAAATGACACTCTGAGTAGAATGACATATCATATGTCAACTTTTGACATTTTCGTTCAAAAAACATTATATTTTAAATTTCAATCTGGAGTGCCATGGCTCTGTTAAAAACACTAATTTTTAAACAAAGGGTCTTGAAAAAATAGATTTGATCGTCTAATGTTATTCGTGTCTTGTCCCGGCCGGTACAAAAGATGCCAAAATTGTATTTTTAATAGAAAATATCAAAAGATTACATGTAATATAAAGTAGAAATATACCGAGGGTGCTATTTAAAAATCAAAAGTTGTAGTAATTTCCGGTGCAACAGGAAGTGACCAAAAACAATTGAATACGTCAATTAATCCTAATTTATGTCTAATTTTTCTGAAAAAATAAACAAGTTATAGGGGTCAGCCACTTTTGAGACGCACCCGGTATATAGAGTTATAAGAAATAGAATTCCAACTTCGGCAGTCTCGTTCTGGTATAAGTGATCTTTGAAAATATTAGTATTTAATTTCAAGCAGTTGCATTATATTTCTATAAGAATTTAAGAAAAATTTCTTTTCTTTTTCACATCAATTATTTCGTGCAGTTTATGATCAGATACAGTCATACATTTTGTCGGCTTCAAAATGAGGTTCAGCCAGTGTTTGAGATGCACTCCTTTGTCTTGCTCTAATGCGAAAATTCTGCAATTCTGTTAACATTTTCCGTGTATTATTACACATTTAATTGGGAAAATCAAAATTACCAAAAGAT